CATAATTGAATTATCGTGGGACTAGCGCACTGAAAACTGTCGAGAGGTAAAAATTGTATACTACTATTATGTACACCCGTAAAAGTTTATACACTTGTTTAATGATTTAAGACATTACACTTACACAACCGCTTTTGATATTTTATTATCGTTATAAATAATTCTATCGTTTCCAACAGCGCCAAGTCGAAAACTCTGTAGTCATGACAAGCCAATAAATAACTCTATACTGACAAATTTAACGTTTCGTTTTCTATCGTTCGTTCATTAGTCGTTCTAGCAGTTTAGCGTGCTAATATTAATATGCTATTGTAACGTGTATACTAAGGTTTACGTATAAAAAAATTGGATATATTTTTCTAGATATATACACAGGACGATTCTAACAATGAGACAGCAAATATCAAATAATTCAATTAACGCATTTTTTTTTTATCGACTTACTTTATTTTTCCACTAAATTATAATACATAATTAGTACACTAACTATACTTGTCAAAACAGAAGAGTAAACAAAATTTATAAAAACCAAATATTCTTGTATTGTATACTTTATTGAAATATTGAAGCTTCAGTTTGAAATAAATGTACATATTTGAATAAAGTATGGAAAGGAAAGTTAAAAAAAATTGACAGGTTAGAAATCAAACTTAGGTTAGGTTACAACCATTATATCTGAATACTTATTTTTAAATGATACTCGCATACTACTTAAGAGAGCCTACAAATTACTAAAGAACATCTGCAATTAACTTCTATAATTAAGTAAATAATCTTACTGACATGAGAAAAAAAGAAATGTAATTTTCAAATTTTTTTAAAAATATAAAATAAGTAGTTTTCTAATATATCATTTTTTAAACGTTAAATCAATTCATTAACCATTGAAAAATACATTCAAGGCTGACACAAATCGTCTCTAAACGGGTGAGTGGAATTGTGAAGCAGACTTAGACGGATAATATTCTAGTGTAAAGATTTAAGTTATAACATGACGTTTGTGTGGGATAAGTTCTAAGCTAAATAAGAATAAGAATATAATTAGTTGACTTTTTTATTTTACTTTTAAAATGCATCAATCAGTTATGACTCATCTATAAAAAAAAACAATTATTGCTACTCGGAAGCAAAAAATCCATAATTTTATGGAATTTTCAAGCGTAATGTTGTTTTTTTTTTACAATCAAACGAATACGGTTTGTTGTTGGGCATATAATATGAATTACAATCAATGCCTTTTTTTTATAAAAGTAAAAAAATATTCCTTGATTTGTTCACCGTGTAGTGCACGGTTTCCGGGAGCATTTTTCTCTTCGAGGTACTATAACATATTATATTATATGTATAATATAATATATTTGTAAAAGATCTGCGGACAATTGTAAGTACGTTTTTATTTTCCCGTCAAACTTGTCAGAATCATATATTTTATCGTTTTTGTACCTGTACCATTCAGTTTTTATATGCACTATATTATTATGTAATACATATTTTTATCATATATAGGTATGTGCCTTCGAAACGGAACGCGTATGGCACTGTACGGAGTGTACTTAATGCATAAGTCATACACGGGTAATACTATTATGTATGTGTGCAGTACTGCAAAATAGATATTAGTCATCCATCACGACCGGTAAGTGAAAAATGTAATATACGTATAAGTACTTATGCTCTGCACATATTTACTGAATATTATTATAGCGTAGAGTTTACTATGTATGGAAGTTATAAGTAAACCTACGATGGCCAGTTTCCGGATTACCACAAAAATACTATGTCTAGTCCTGGGAGGTGCGCTGTAAACCCGTATAAAGACTCTGGAGGTAGGCCTCGTGGGTCTAAGAGCGATAGGAGTCAAAACAAAAACCTAGTTACGTACTCTACTCCACGGAAAAACATTGAATCGTGGATCATTTGGCATATTTTATCCCTTATCTTTTGTCACTTATCACTAGATGCTTATCTCTATTTACTGAAAGTGAAAGTGTAACGCGAAAACGGGCACGTGAAATTTCTCGTATCCAGCCCAATAACATATTCATGTTAAAAGGGGAGGGGACGTGGGTAGGCGGTAGAGTCTAAGGGATACGGTCATAGTTTAAGTACGGCGGCGAGGTCGGGTTCATTGCACATATTATTATGTTCGGATACGGTATTTATGATTTTTTACTGCTAACAAAACGATGACGACCGGCCGGCCAGGTTTAATGGGCATTCGGATACAATTTTTTTTTTTTTTTAGCCGTTCTCGCTATATGATTATTATTATATAGTACCCGAGTGGCTAGTATATATAGTATATATCTCATTCCCTTCTCAGAGCGACCCGTCCGGATGTTACATATTTACTACATTTTCTTTTTTTTTTCTTCTATTTTTTGCTCTCTTCGTCCAGTTACGCGTGTAATAGATTTACGACAGTTTGTTTATATGGACACCACCGCCTGTCCGGCCTTAGCTATATAATAGTAATAATACACTTTTCGCTTCCTCTTCCTCGTGGTCCGCGGTGTTGTGATTCGATTAGGTCAGGTTAGGTTAAGCACACACACACCATAAAGTTATAACATCTGCAGAAACTCGCGGCAGCAATTAGCCGACAGGCAGTGTGATTTGTTTTGTCCATTTTTTTAAAAAATATTTTATTTAATAACCTTTTCGATAGTTCGTTGACTCTCTAAGCTCAAACGTGCAGGCTTTATCCGGTCTAATCAATGGACATCAGACTATTATTACCATTATAACCAGACAACAGAATCGGTCGTCGCAGCGCAGCACGTTGACAGGTCTAACAGAATAAATGCATGAGTATTTTTGTCAAAGCGCCAACCCTTACTTTTGTCAACCACATTTCGACTGTGGCTGTTAGAGCTACTCGGTTTTCGAACACATTTTCCAAGCCGGTAGCCATCAGACCGCATGTGTTCACCTACAACCGATTTAACTAAACCGTTTATTAGTATTCGACTAGCGCAGGAAGGTGTTTTTTTTCACAGTTAGTATCTTATATCGATTGGTTGTATCAGTGCTGCGGGTGTCTTCCCCTGATGCCTACCGTTATGGATGTGTTGAATTGCAATAGCAACAAGACAGTTTATGGAGATGGCTTCTGCAAACAGTCTGAAACAACAATGGTAAGCTGTGGTTATAGTAGGTACAGTTATATTTACGGGCCTCCCATGGCTAGACCAGGTAAACTGCTCCTCAAACTTGAGCCTTCCTAAGGAATCCTGACGGATATCAATGTAAATCATATCTACATTATGGCCACATCAAATTTCTTATTTTATACCAGTGCACATGTAATAGGCAAAATAATTTTTATAAATTTTCAAATAAAATAAGGGTTTTTCGCTTATATATTCTGTAATTCGATTTTTGCGATATTAGTTTTACTTTGTAAGTGCATTTACTCTGAAGAAGTCACGTTTCATACTCAAAAGTTCAACCGGAGTTCAGAAAGGCTTTCAACAATAATTCCAGTACATTGTTGATGGTATTTTTTATCAATTCAACAAATTTACACCCCACTAGCGCTGGTCCGATATTGTTTTCCGCGTTATTTGTCGCTTTCAGTTGTGTTGTTGTGCAGCTTCGCAAGTTTTGTGTAAAGTTGAGTACTAGGAAAAGTTTTCGAAAAATCCCTATTATAATTCGGGGTGTCGTTTTCGAAAGGGCGATAAACGAATAATTTAATATATAAGTTTTGAAAAGTAGAAACTTTTCTTTTTATTTTCCCGAACACTGGACTCCCTTTTGTTGTCTCCAATCGTCGAGGTCTTTGTCCCAATCGTCGACACGGTCGTCATCCGTTTACTACATTTTTAAGATCAATATTGGCAAATCAGAAGTCCTTCCTTTCCAATACCGAGGTACGTCTGACTCCCGCTACCAATTGTACATGTGATCCTCATGGCGAGCAGGCCACCACCATTGCCACCAAAATGACAGCAAGAAAAAGGTATTCAGCTTTCTCCTTAGACGTACTTACCGGTTAGTTGTGAATTCCTTGCAAATCAGTTGTGTTACACATACAAGATGATTTCCGGCCACCTGTAATGTATAACATACACAAATACAAGTATGTGTTATTGAATTGTTGTGACACTATTCGTTATACATGATGTTATACATAATGATATATGAATACAAATTCTCCGTTAGATCATGTTAATCCTTAATGGTTTCCCACCCGACAAAAAAGACACCTGAGGTGCGTTTGATGCCGGGCAATAGAGCACCGTTAGACAATGTTTAGTAAATACTAAATTTAGAGCCAAACGTTTGTGACTGATCCTGGAGACGATTGGTCTTGTTCTTAGTAGAGACGCTGTTGCGTTTTCCTGACTCAGTTGAGGCGGTGGAGCGCAGCAACAGCCTAACCCACAAAAATTAAAAAATTAGAGACAACAATACCATTTTATTTTGAATTAAAAAAATACTTGATGCAACACTGGATTTTTTTTTATCTTTCACTAGGTAATCATTTAAAAAATATTTATTACACCTAGTATAGGTGTAAATAAACATTTTTAAAGTGATATTACTCCCTTTTCTATTTTTGTCGGTTAGGTTATGATCGTGCTCACCGCCTCAAATTATACTCAACACAACTAAGTTAATTTAGTTCAAAAGAAAACATACATACGAATTTTTCTAAAAAAATCGACTAATATTATATTCTTACGAGGATTTAAAACATTGTTGGCACTTGAATCGGCAGTTTGTAAAATATGTACTTGTTTTTATTATTTTAACTCTCTGTAAGAAAAAAACCATTGTTATTATCAATGTAATAATATATTATACTAAAGCATACACCACAATACGTGTGGGTTATTACACATGTTTTTTAGTTTTTGTTTGTTTTTCGTATGGCACATAACATACATTCGATAAACACTGCATTCAGTTTTTATTGAAAACAGTGTTTTTAAGTACCGTTTAAAACGTTTATTACCTATTTTCTCGGTTATCGAGAAAACAAATCTCACAACAATCATCATGATCATACTCACGAGTATTGTTTTTGTAATTAAATTTGTTTTCGTCCATTCTCTGGTGATAGATAAATACTCGCTGAATTGCTCTTATATGTTGCACATGTATAATGTTTTTACGGCGAACATCAGAGTCAAAATATCGCCTGATAGTTTGCCCGGTTATGCCGATGAATTTCAGTCTATCCACGGCGAAAACATCTTGGCGATTCTCGACGAACTACGGGAAAAAGAGCCGTCCTTAGATATGTACGCGTTGATGAAAATAAATTTATACTTGAATAACGTTTTCGGCACTATAATGGTGAAAAAGAACACGTCCACGCCAGCGCCAAAAAACCAATCCGGAAACGCGGTATACAAAGAGGAATTCAACGGTGTTCACAAAGAAGTACTTAACGGCCTAACGTTGATAATACTTAAGAACTGTTTCATCAAACCTATCGATCCGCATCGATTTAGTATTATATCAAATATACTCGACGTTACTGCCGCCCGCGATCCCTTAACCGAACCGAAATACTACGACCTAAACGGTTTGTTGCCGAAAGCGAATTTTTTCATGAACACCGATCAACGAATAACCAACTATTTAGAAGACAGTGAATTACAACTGAAGCACATCTTGAAACCGGTCATGGATCGAGGGACCTACTGGAATTTACATCCGAGAAAAATGTTGTTTTACGATATGTTGTCCAAGAACGGACCTATATCGAATGGCACGTCACCCGGTCACTCGGATCCTTTGGATTTACTGCGGAAAGTCAATCTAGAATCGGAATTAATCAACGGACGACCAGTTAATATTGGAATGGGGTTCGAGATGATTCAACGACTCTTTATAACGACGTGCGTCAAGGCGTTCCAGCAACAAGTACTGGCCGCTACCGCACATCCTGTACTGCATCTGGTCGGTTCCTATCTTATGTTCTTCAACCGAGTATATTACTTGGAGAATAACCAATACACTACTTTGGTCCACAGAGTGGATATGTTCCAATCGACAATTGTTGACATGGGCGTATCGATTCTCAGCGTATTCGATAAATTTATACGTTTGGAATTGCTACCAAAAAAAATTCAAACACATTTAGCCACCATTTACGGGGAATTGCACAGCTTGGTACATTATACTGACAAACTATCATTGCATGTAGACAAACCGTGGTGGGTCGATTTCATCTACAACAGGTGTTCTCAGCCCATGAAGCACAATAAATTGAAATTCGAAACCGACGTTGGATCCTGGCAAATGGACAAAAGTGACACGGAAACTATGATGACAAAAATTGATCTCGTTAAGGAGTACATAAAGGCTTTATCGAAGCAAAAGAGTCATTACGATATTGTTGTAAACAAGATTGTATTCTATTCACACGACGATATGTTTGACAGCTCTCCTGACTGTGATATTGTGTTGGCCAGCAATGGTGGTGAGTATAAGTTTAAGAATAATATATTTCTCTTGGAATAATATGTTTTTTTATTATATAATAATTAGTTTGTTACATTTTGATGTGGAGTGGAAAAATGACCCTTTATATACTTTGATAGTTAATCAATTATTTATGTTTCAGGTTATAAAACTGTTTGATGTCGGCAAATGATGAAAAAGCAATGGTATACTTTGCCGTTAACATGTCATTATCCTACAATTATTTCTCCGGTATGTTCACATTTTAATTATTATATAAATGTATTGTATTAATATAATAAAATTATGCATAAGCTCTATTTATTATATTATACAAATTATTATTGCCTTAAACGAATTATTATGTTACATGTGTGTGAGTTGTTTATTATTTTATATTATGTTATAAATTATATATTATTTTTATTATTATTATATTATAAATTATTAATTAAATATTATTCTAATTGTTATACACGTTTGTTTTTGGTGTATCTTCACAAAGTGATTTTTATTTTTTGCTCCTAACAACAGACATGAATACTCGTACTTGTTTGTTTCAGAAACCTTATGGTTAAAAGCAAATATGAAAATATTGTGTACTACTGCTAGCAATAGCTATAGTTGTTTTTAAATAAAACAACTAAAAATTACAATCCATGGTATTTTTTTGTTAGGTTTTCTATCATATTGGATAAAACTGGCATAGGGCTTACAATGGACATTTGTTTATTGTGTTTATGGTAATCACACGGATTGATCGATAATTCTATTCTCAGTATCCTCTTGATAAAGCATTATCACGAGTATACTTAGGGTCATACACTGCAATATCAGAACAGCTCTAGGTATTCAAGCGGTTGTCGATATTTCTATTTGCCGGTGTATTATTTACAAAGACTGCAAACACATATGGATCTCGAACCGTATAGACGATTCATCCAAGTGTTTTTTTTAAATTTAATTTCACGGTGAAATACTCCGACGGTTCGAAAACCACAGCACAGCCTTGGGTCCGGTCGGTCGGAATCCCCTTAGCTTGCCGGTGTTGCAGGGCAATTCGTTGTGATATTGTTATGTCGTTTTATACGTGCAACACAAAACTGGCGAATAAGGGAAACGATACGACTCGCATAGTGTATATCAATTGGTACGTGTACCTAACCCATTGATTTTTCTTGGTTTTTCTAAAAGATTTAGCACGCAGGCCATTTAGTGCAGTGAAATCCGCAGCGGCCCAACAGACAGCTTAATAACCTTATCCCTTAAACAGACTTATATATATATATATATATATAATTATGTTCCCCTCGGTCTTGGACCGCCGGTAATCCGATTAAGACAGACTCTGTAATAGATTATTTTATTTATTTTTTTTTTGTATGGGGGGTGAAAGTAAGAGAGTAGCGCTTAGATTTTGTTTCCCCCACAATACGATTACACACACACATATATATATATATATATTATATATGTGTGTATACTGTACACGCGAGTCGGGTAGTTTATTTTTCGTTTTACCCTCTTGGCCGAAATGTTGGCATTGTTGTTACTTGCCAGGGCGAAAAGTGGTGCAACGCGATTACTCTTAGACAGACTTATAGATAGACACACGCGCAGAACAGGGAGAGTCTCGCAAATAGATAGCGAGCATAAAGTGCAATACACACACATAATATATAAAACACCCCATTTCGGTGGTAATTTACACTGGGCCGTTGTTCGGCCGTAAGTAGGTATATACACCGCGTCAAAGGGAAAAATTAATAAGATTTAGCTTCTGTACGGAACAAAATGAAAACACAATTGAATCGTTTAATCAGAAAAATCCACAGTACAATGCATTCAACAACAAGGAACTAAATGAATTTTTGTGTAAATAGTATGATTCTAATTTCCTAAAAATATAGAAACGTTTACATTATGGTCTTAAATTTATTTATTCCTAAAAAATGGTATTCATATCGACCGCTTAGGGTTTCTGAAAAAAAAATGTTCACCTTATTATTATTTTTGTTTAATATAATAATGTATTGTTTTTACACTTCTATTTGTATTTTGATTCAGCAGTTGTATGCTCAGACATTTCAGGAGAGGACATATCATGGGTCTATTACACATTTATATATATATATTTTTACTTTTAAAATGTGTTTGACTTCAACACGAATGCAAAATAAGTTTCAAGGTACATTTTAGTGTTGCGAAATGTATATTTTAGCATTGAAAACAAATACATAGTAAATTTACTTTTCCATCATGTGCACTTAGTGAGTACCGATTGAAATGCACACAATTTGTATGCAGTTGTCAAATATGAAAGCTGTGGAACTATAGATATAATTAATTTGATCTATGTTGGTATAACCCCCTGGAATATTTGATAGCTGTCACTCAGGATCTGCCCTACCGCCGCAGAAATTTATCAACAGTTAATTATTAATATACCTAGCTAATAAATTACACGATATATAAACAACTTTGTGAGTTGCCTTTACGACCCAGTTCACAGTTATGTATTAATAACTACATAGCTACAGAAATTAATTTTAAAATACTTATTTTTATTATTTAGCTGTAAATACGAAAAACAATTGTTGTTTTTTATACAAACATTTTACAGCATACAACATGATATTGGTATGTTGTTTTTTACACATATGTTTTAATTTTGTTTGTTTTTCGTATCGCACATAACATACATTCGAAAAACGCTGCATTCAGTTTTTATTGAAAACAGTGTTTTTATGTATCGTTTGAAACGTTTATAATTTTATCGTTTCTAGTAAAAATAATTCTCACAACAACCACCATGATCATAATATTCACGAGTATTGTTTTTGTAATTAAATTTGTTTTCGTCAGTTCTCTGGTGATAGATAAATACTCGCTAAATTGCTCTTATATGATGTACATGTATAATGTTTTTTATGCCAACACCGTAGTCAATATAACGCCTGATAGTTTGCGCAGTTATGCCGATGAATTTCGATCGGTCCACGGCGACAACATCTTGGCTATTCTAGACGTACTACGGGAAAAAGAGCCGTCCATCGGTGTGAATGCGTTGATGCAAACGAATTTGTACTTGAACAACGTTTTCAGCACTCTAATGGTGAGAATGTTCAGATCACCATCGACAGCGTCGGCAAACGCAGCCGAAAAAGTGGCTTACAAACAGGAATTCGACCGTGTTCACAAGGATTTACTTGCCGAATTGGGCGACAACATCGTTAAGAACTGTTTTAATAGAATAAGTCCCTATTTTCAACCCCACATTTGTCTCGCCGACAATCGCTTAACCGATCCGAAGTACTACGATCTAAACAATTTGTTGCCGAAACGGCATTCGGACGAGTCACGCAGTTGGACCACGTTCTGGAGCAGATCAGATCTCGTTATCGACCATTTAGATAACAGCGAATTGGAATTGAAATACATCTTGAAACCGATCATGGAACGAGGGGACTACAGGAATTTACATCCGAAAAAAATGTTGTTTTTCGATACGTTGTCCACGAACGGGCCTAAACCGAATGGCAAGTCACCCGGAGACTCGGATCCATTGGATTTACTGCGAGAAGTCAATCTAGAATCGGAATTAATCAACGGACGACCATTTAACATTGGAATGGCGTTCAATATTGTTCAAAGGCTTATTAACGTGCCGTGCGTCAGGACATTTCAGCAGCAAGTACTGGCGGCCACTGCGCATCCATTACTGCATCTCGTCGGTTCCTATCTTATGTTCTTCAACCGAGTATATTACTTGAATGAAAACCAATACACTACTATGGTCGACAGAGTGTATATGTTCCAATCGACAATTGATAATATGGGCTCGTCGATCCTTAATGTGTTCGAACAATTTATACGTTTAGAATTGCTACCGAAAAAAATCCAAAAACATTTATTCATGACCTACAGAGAATTGTACAGCTTGGTACATTATACTGATAAACTATCATTGCATGTAGACAAACCGTGGTGGATGGATTTACTCTACGAAAGGTGTTTTCAGCCCATGAAACACAATAAATTGCAATTCGAAATCGACGTTGGATCCTGGCAAATGGACAAAAGTGACACGGAAACTATGTTGAAAAAAATTGTTCGCGTCGAGGAATATGTAAAGGCTTTATCGAAGCAAAAGAGTCATTACGATATTGTTGTAAACAAGATTGTATTCTACTCCCACGGCGATATGTTTGAGAGTTTTCCTGACTGTGATATTGTGTACTAAATCGAAAAGGGTGAGGAAAAGTTCAAAAATAAAATATTTCTCTTGGCATTAGTTTTGTATAAATAATAGAATGGAATTTGGATGTTCAGTGTGGTGTAGAGTTAAAAAATCATCCTTTTTCTATTGAATAGACACTGATATAATTATTGTAAGACTTACTTTTGTTTCAGATTGTTAAAAATGTTGATGGAAAATTATGAATATAACAATGATATATTTTGTCGTTAACGTGCATCATACTACAATTATTTCTCCGGTATATTTACTTTTTAATAAAGCCTATTTAATTAATCGTTTAAATGTATAAAAATAATATAGTAATACTATGCATTAACTCTATTTATTATGCTACAAAAAATATTATTTCCTAAATCGGTTTATTATGTTGCATGTGTACATTGTTTATTATAAATTATATATTATTATTATCACTATTATATTATAAATCATTAATTGATAATTTTTCGAATCGTTTTACAAGTTTCTTTTTGATATATCTTCAAATAGATTTTAATTCCTAACAGCAAACATAACTCCAAATTTAGCAATCGTACCTGAAAAATATGTATATGTATTGTTTTTTTTTATAAGAAAACTTTCCTAACCTTTTGAACATAGAGCGTTTAACTATTGATGTCATGCCATTTTAGGTTTGATAGTGCTTTATATTTTATAATTACTTATATAAACGTAGAGAACATGCTTACATGCTAAACAATTTACCAAACAAGTGAATTGATTTGAAAGTATAAGTTTTTTCGTTGACTATTGTATACTAGTTATGAACCATTTAACCGACATTGACGTGCAGTTGCAGTACATGTTACAACCAATAGTCAAAATTGAAACGCATCTAAATTTACATTCGAAAAAAAATGTTTTATGATATTACCTGGTTTTACTGTACCTGGTCGGAGTTCAAAATAAGATATTTCTCTTGGCATTTTTTTTATAAATAATTGTATGAAATTGTTTTCTTAGTTTGATATAAAGAGTAGAGTAGAAAAATCACTCTTTTTCTATT